ATAACCACACTAAAGTTATATCCTAAAACTACACATCGCATCATATCGTTTAGAATTAGCTGCTTCGCCTTCGTCATTTACACCTGCAGTCATCCCAACACAGCTGACACATCCTAATCAGCACGCAGATTTAAGTTGTAATATGTGAATTCCCAACATCTCCCACTGGAGTTATCTATATTTCCTTTGTGTTTATGTGTACTCTATGTGAAACACGGTAAAATGTCTGTAAGGACTGTTGCATTATCGGCTCAAGCCACTGTAACACCTGGACAATATAATGCAATCCAATCAAATAGCCCGGTAACAAATGTTTTTTATAGTATAAACATCTTTCACAGGATGGAACTCGAGAGTGCTTTTTGTGACCACTGAGACATCGGATGTCACCACTAATAAATATGGCTCATGAAGTTGAAGCGCCTCTCTAACACAGCTCACTATTATCTTCCTTAATGTCATACTTGTGCAGAGTTGGGATTTCACAAAATGTGTTCTTCAACATGCCTGGATGGGTTTAGAACACAGAGGCGTCTTTTGCCAATGTTGTGCGGCTTCCCAGCTAAAGGTCATCAGCGAGTGGAGAAGGAGAATCAGAAAAGGTCAAAGCCTCTTTATATATGCTGGCAACAAAATGTATCATGACCAAATGGAAAATACAGTGTCCCGTCGTGATGGTACCCATCGTGCCATTAGCGGTGAGGAGGAACAGCAGATGGATGAATTGATGTGATCAGACCGATTGCAGCGTGGGATCGAGTTGTTATCTTAGTCTTAATCTGTAATCATAGTCGAGCCACTGAGATTCTGTTTGCCTGACCAGGGTTGGAAAAAAGCACTTATGGCACAGACCTCAAAGATGTTAACTTGACATTTAGGCCAGAAATCATCTCTTGCCCTTTAACTTTGTAAGGATGTTGTGTGCCACACTCTTCTAAAACATAGAAATGTCTACTGTCAGAATCGTGACCTCGCACGGTGAGTCTTTGCAATAACGTTGAATACATAAAGAAGTACTCCGTGTTACAGCTAGTGTAAACATTCCAGATGTATAGACTCAACTGTAGATGCAATAACTGAATTGATATGAACTGTCAAAGTGTATCTTGCTCCTGAGGTTTTATAAAGAACTACATTTACATTAAATAATTCATCTTTCTTTTAAGTTATAATGTTGTCAAATTTATACACTGATACTGAAATTTTGAGTTTTTGTTTGTTGTACTTAGATACAGTAGATATAGTCGAGGCCCGTTACACATTATTGACCTGACATGATTGTTTAGGGATTAGAAAACTCTCTTCTACTCAGAACAGCCAGTCTGCAGTATTCTGAATTTTTATTATTGTAGACTAGTGGCAGACCTTTGCTGTAACACTTGGTTTCCGAGAAAGACACATAATAGTCCCTGACAGGTGGTGTGATTTCCTCAAAGCTATTTTGAATATGTCCCAGGTCTCCAAAGAGCTAAAGACAGGATTCAATAAGTAATGCCTCAGCAGAACCTGGTGATCCTGTCACCCTCTGGCTGATTGTAATCATTTGTGATGGCCCCCGTATGCCTGCCGGCCTCCCAACACTCAGGCTTTTAGATGGGCATCAAAATGCATTACTTCCAGAGCACTAGATGTGGGCCTGTATGTGTGAAGCCAGGTTGGAAATAAAGACATTAACTCTGTCTGCAGACCAAGATTTCTGAACTCTGAGTGACATCAGAGCCTGTTTCTACTAGCAATTTAAGTTCATGATATGCTTCATATCATAACATTAATATTTGAGCCTGCAGATGAAAAACTATTTCTGAAAGCTATCCATTAATGCAACAATGCTCAAGGACTTTAACTTTGCGAAACAAGTTGTATTCCACTTCAAATTAAGTGGAAACAACACGGCTGATGCATTCTTTGCATGTAGTGCTACAGCATGGTATATAAGGCCTTAATGACTCGGCAGCGGGGGGCTCGGCTGTTTAATGAGCGGGCTCTCCTGCGCCACCACGATCAAACAAGAGCCTCATTTGATTTTCCCTCTTGACCTCTATTACTCTCAGAAAACAGCAAAGCACAAGGGATTTATTTTTTCAAAGGCTTGTGCAGGAGTGGAGAAATTAAGATAACGGTTCAGAAAAAAAGTTAATAACGGTTTTAAAGATTTTATGCATAAATCTATAAAATGTGAATAGGCCCACCTATTGTGTGCAGTTATACACACACACACACACACACACACACACACACACACACACACACACACACACACAGGTTTCAATTTCAAACTTTGATTTGAAAACAAATGCTTAGAGCAATAGTTTGAGAATTAAGCTTATTTACTTTGGCTGAGAATTACAGTAGATAAGAAGATTGATATCACTGATGCGGCGTTGGTTAAACAAAGCTACCAAAATCAGCCGGTTGGCTTATTTGAACTCACAGAAAAATGCAAATAACCCTGTCCAGTATTTGTGCTAAGCCGCACAAAGCGCTTGCTGACTTTGTCACACAGACTTCAGCGTTGAATCAAGCTTATCACCCAACTGTCAGCAAGAAAGCAAATAAAACACATTTACCAAGATGATAAAATGTAACTTGAAGCATAGCCAGTGTTATATATCCTGCTCAACAGTAAATGCAAATCAAACAAGCCAAACATCTTATCAAAAATGACAGGCGTTTTGATGCAGGTTCTGGGCAATGAAGAAAGTCTGTATTTGTATCTTATTTTGCAGAACCCATCCTATGATTTGATCCCTCAGATGTGTCAGTTTAAGAGACCACTTCAGAAGAAGCCAGCAGACAGTGGCGTCACTACGGAGGAATACACAGAGTGGGTGTCGAGAATAACAGTGACAACCTCATGAGATTACTACAACTTCCACAGACCACATCATGACACACAAATCCTTAAACATCATGAACCCCAGTCCTGAATGGCGCCGCACCAACATGTCAGCTGAAATGGCTCCTTATTGCTTCCTGGTACATTTTTGATGCATAAGATCCTTTCTATAATATTATATTAATGAACAATAGAACTTTCTATCTTTTTCTAATTTACCCGTCATCCAAAATATCTCCATGCGCTTCAAGCCCACATTTGTTAGTGTATCTGTCACTTTTTTCTATAAATACTGCTTTTCTCGAGGTCAAAGCTGATTTTTAATGTTGGAAGAATGCAACAACCATCAAACATAAAAAAGGTTATGTGTATGCCCAACGCAGAGATGGAGCACATGTGGACATGTGCTAAATGCAATTTACAGCTTCACTGTAGATCTAGAAAGTGCACTTTAATAAGACAAGAGTTGTTGAACATGCTATCATGCTGTGTGTAATCACACACGTTTTCTACAGCTTTATTTTCCTTCTTCAGTGTGAAAAAGGTAACGTTCTGCTGCACCGTATAATTTGTAAAAAGGCGGAAAGTAACTGAGGTCTGGAGGTGAAGAGACGCAGCTCAGCAGGACTGCAAGACAAAATGCTTTCATGACACCTGCTGGTGTATGTTGTTCTATCAGACTGTTCCTCTCCTCCCTCATCATCAATCCATCAACACAGCGGTAGATGCAGACAGCTGGCCATTCCCTTTTCAACGGCCATCAGAAGTGGGTACACTGTCATTACGTGCCTGCTGACCTTTTTGAAAGACTGAAATAAACTAAAGATAAAACGTATCCTTACTTCTGTGCAACAGGAGGCAACGAAAAGAGAGTGATTGCATCACCATATTTATTTATTTATTTTCTATTGCATCACATCTAGCGTTGTGTTGTCGTTCACGTTGTGTAACATTTCATGCCAAAGGCATTAACAAGAGGCAGGAAGTTAGAAATCGGAAGACAGTTGTTTATTTCTTAGACCATGGGACACTGAAGGTCAAAATAGGAAAAACACAGGATGAATTTAAAAGCGTCTGTAAGGCCGTTTTCTTACCGGTTTGGTTAAAACCCCGACTGTCTTTAAGTGGGCGGAAAGTGGTGGATGCTGGGTGAAGTTCAGCTTTTGGGACCACATTTAAATCTCTATGCTTCTGTTACCGAGCTAAACAAGTTGTTCTCATGATTTGTATTTAAGTACATGAATCCAGGAATCAATAAATCAGTGTAATATATTATATAAAAGAATGATCCAAATGTCACTCCAAGCACATGTATTCTTCTTAATTTCTGAAAGTACATGCTACCTGGACAGAAAGGACACTTTCCTTAATGCAGAGTAAGGCGACTTGGTCATGATCACGAGTATAATGCAGGAACTTCACTGACATTCTGATTAATGATTCCAATTACAAAGAAAAATCGAAAGTTGAGGAGGAAAGCGTTTTGCAGAGGATTATAAAAGAGACAAAGCAGACAATGAAGACAAATAGGCGAGCTAGAGCTTACATTTTATCTTATGATCATATATAACAAGCCTAACGGCGGGTGTCCCTTCCATTAGAGCTTATGAATAGTTTGTATGAGTCATTTCATTGACTTTGCAAATAGTGAACACTCAAAGACTTTCTTTCCCCAAAATCTCAACCTTCCCTCAGGGTTCAAGAAAAGATTTGGTTATCAATCATATTATTGAGGGGAATCCTAATGTGGCCTGTCAGAAAGTAAAGTATATAAGTCAAATATATTTTAGCTGATGATCTAGAAATATATGTTATATGCAAAGATGATATATGCTGCTGTGTAGCATAAATAATGTTTAATGCATCTTAGTTGTTATTGTCCTTCCACCAAACACTGAAACAATGTGTTGCAGTCGCCCAACAGCTCTTCTCTATATGACTCAAATGCGTTCTCCGCTCTCATTTTGCTTGATCTCACTAATGTGTTAAATCAGATTGACACACTGTCATCAATTCTGCTGCAACGTGTAATACAATTGTCCCTTTTAATGCACCGCGAAGAGAGCAAAGCAGCCAATCCAACCCCCCAGCGGAGGGCTTAATCACACATTGCCTATCGAGTAGCATTGGGCACAAAGACGACCGTTCTGCAACGCTTCACGAATTCCTTTGCCGATGTCTTCGTGTGTTCCGTAAAGCCACAGAGTGAGTGAGTGAGTGAGTTAGTGGGTGAGTGGGTGACGGCATGCACAGCGCACAGATAGTTCAGTCCAACTATGTGGAACGCGTTGGTCTTCCTCTGTCCGTTGGCTCAGAGTTGGGTAGTCGGTGCGTAAATAGCTGTGCTTTTGGAGACACCCTGCGCAGCGCGCACTCCTCCCTCGGTTCCTTTCTTCGGACCCCTTGCTCTCCTGTTCTCAGTCTAACCAGCGAGCACGCACGGCGCGGCGCGGCGCACGCAGAGAACGAGAGCGCACAGCGCGTCCCAGGCAGTCCTCCTCCTCGCTGTCTACTCACGCGCCGGGATGGATCGACTCTCCGCTGCAACGATCTACTTCGCCAGTTGATAAGTTTAGCTCTTTATTTTTTTGGGGGGGGTCAACCGGGAGCTGAAATCCAACGCCTTCTCCCGTTGGCAGATATTCTCCCTGCGCGTTAACTTGGCTCTCGGATACCTAATAAGCCATATGATGAAACCCGCCGGGCTAGAATCGCACCTGATGCTCCTGCTGTGCCTCGTCTCCACCGCGGCGTGCAATATGTTTGCATTCACCGAGGAGCCCCCCGAGAGAGCCGTGAAGGGAGACGGCTATTGTAGTCGGATATTACAAGCTCAGAGCAGCCGGAAGGAAGGCAACAGTGAGTTTCGCCTCCGCGTCGAGGGAGACCCGGAGAGCTACCAGCCGGGGAGCACATACAGAGGTGGGTGCTCATCCGCGAGATTTACCCCAAACGGCGTCGGTCGGCACTGTGGAATATCCACGACAACCCGCGGACAGTAGACTATGCAAACTTGAAACAAGTTTATTTACTTTTGCTGCGACACGAATGCACGTCCCCTGAACATCGCCGTATCTTTATGGCATTATCATTTAATGCCAAATATAATCCTTTTCTTGCTTGTTATTAGTTTTTATTATGTAGTTACATAAGGGCATTTCAATTTGAGTATAATTTGTGTGAACCACCTAAAGCCATTACTGAATAATATGAATAATAATAGAAATGCGTATTCGTATGAATAAACCTCATATGAGCAGCCATGAGTAAATAGTAGGCTACGTGTTAATATTTCCGTCACCATTAAAAAGGTTCATATAAGCCAAATCCCTCTGTGAACTCTTCCATTTTGGTACTCTCTTTCAAACTGATCTTTAAAAAGCCAGCAGCCCCTGATTTCATGGCTTTTGTCTAAAGTGGATGTTGTTGGGAGCTGTTAATGGGCATGTGCCATCTGTTCTGTGAATCTCCAAGGCTCATGCTGTTCTGGACTCATGTTGCATGTTGGTTCGTTCGTTCTTTTCGGATTAAACCATAGATTTACATCATCGAAAGTCAATAACATGTTTGCACTTCCCTAGAAATCATTTGAATGTTCAAAAGCATTATCCCAATAAGCTGATAAAGCTGTCATCAGCCGATTAAAATTAAATTGTCTTATGTTATGCAGAAAAATCTATCAAAACACTAAAGTTCTCCTGGGAATACTGCCAGAGATGGAACTATCAAAATGAGTGTCATCTGAAACAGGTGAAACATTGGATTGTGCGGGTATCGAATTGTGTACGACTGTATTCTAGCTCAGTGATGCTTGTCTCTGCATGATTCCATCCAGTGACTGTGATTGCATCCAGCCCCTCCTACTTCAGAGGGTTCACCCTTATTGCCCTGAGGGACGGCGCAGAGGGAGACAGGGACGAGGACTACGCTGGAAATTTCCAGGTACAGTTGCAGCTAAAGAAATGTCAGGAAAATGAGACCCCATTGGCATGTTTTCTCTCTTATCACACTGCAGTTACATGGCAATTAATTAAACCATATCTGCCAACCACACATGTATTTATACCCTGGTCATTAATAGCAATCCTTCCTCTGCGTGAAGAAATAAAAAAGAAGGTGTCTCTTACTGTAGATGGGGGTTTTGACAGATTTTCTTTGCACAGCCTTCCTGTCTTCACATGTCGAGGTGGGATTATTCTCACCTCACCTCCTCTAATGGTCTTGATATAGCATATGAAAAGAACATACTCAGAGCCCAGGTTTCCAGGCTTTGAAATGACTGTGCACGTGTGTTGCAATTAAGAGTTGTGTGCTCACGAGCATGCACACAGTTCAGGTATTTACGGCGTGTACGATGGGTGCAGTTCTAAGGCTCATATGCATTTTACACAGGCAGAGCAAGTGGGAGCCCTGTAGAATGCAAGAGAGAACAGAGTGGGCCCAAGACTGTTAACGGAAGAGAAAGAAGTCAAAAATGCGAAGTATTAATAATTATACAGTGTGAGGAGTCATGTTGTAGAGAGAAGAAGAACAGTGGAGTGTATGCATGCGCGTGTACGTGAGTGAGTTCAAACAAAGAACAACAATAATCGACGTCCAGGGTGAATCCCGTCTCCTGCCTGATGTTAGCTGGGATTGACTCCAGACATTTATATATACCATGCTGCATGCTATACATAATATCATTGTATGTGTGTATATCTAGTGCTAGTACAGCACATTCACAGTGTAGAACTATATGTCAAGTTGATGTAATATTCTCCTCATAACCTTTTCACCTTCTTCTTGTAGATCTCTCATGCGCTTAGCTTACTGTGTCAAGTTTATTTCATCAAAGTCAAAGCTGCAAGTTTCATAGAGTTTACAGTGCAGAGGATGTCGTCCTGTCTTCAAGGGTTAAAAAACGCTGAGCATCCGAGGATTTTGTTTCAGCTATATCAATTACCCAAAATGTCTCAACAGTCTACCACAGTATCATCACTTCAAATCATATTTATTCTTAAGGCAGAGCTCGATGGGTTTACCAGCGTGCGGCGAGGTCTCTTTCTCAGACTTTTGTGAACCTGTCGGCTTCAGTCACACATTAAAGCCCGTCGTGGTACTGAACCTGTAGTGGAATACATGGGGAGGGGTGCACAGCCGCGCCTTCAGGCTGCTCCAATCACACCTACCGTGGCACTCTCTGTGACCCGAGCCTTGAATATGGGATGACATAAACAACAAGAACATTACGTTTTTGGTCGGTCAGAGCCCACTTGCTATTGATTTCATGCTGTTGTTATTTAGTAGCGGCCTTGAGCGGCCTCTTCAGCGCTATGGCAGAGAGACGTATAGAGGGGAAACATTACGCTCAGTCACTGTGCTTTCCCCACATTGATGAGAAGGAGTGTGGAGTGCACCTCGGATAATATATAGACATATGTAATCATAGTCTTTAGATATGGTTGAAAATAACAGAGATGTCTGGTCGGCTCTGAGAAGTTGAAGGTCTCGTTCACAGCTGTAGATGTTCGCTTGTTTCATTAAAAGCAACATGCACTAATGCAGTAAGAATAACCTACCGCCCAAAGAGATATCATACTCTGTTAGTCTTTCATGTTTCTTTATCTTTTATGTCAAAAAGAAACACACACACACGCATCCAGAAGCACACACTATTCCCCCATTCTGAAAGAGCCCTGGGTGGGCGGGCCCCCAAGCATTGAGAGAAGAGAAAAAAAGAATCTGCAACAGAAGACGTCAGGCTTTATTTATCATACGGCTCATTTGAAATCTGTTGGTGTGCCCCATCTCAGCCGTCTCTGGACAGCGCCCGACTTGATGAAAAGCACTTTTATTGAGCTCTCTGGGAAGGTCAGATGCCACAGTGTGTATGTGTGTTTGTTGGCAAGAGCGTAAACCGGCAGGCAACGCTGGCGATGTCTAGTGAGACATTAGTTCTCAGCAGGGTGAGATGATAGAACAAGAAAAGCCGAAACGTGGCTATCAGAAGAGAGGAAATCATTGCCCCTTCGAGTGCGACATGACATAATCTATGATGAAGCCATAACGGAGACTGTGGGTGAATCATGTTTACGTCGCGTTTACCTAAAAAATGATTCAATTGGAGGTTAATATGTTTGACATGAAACCGTTACGTGACACGTGAAGATGTTTTATCTTTTAAACATTCTCCATTACTTCACTGGTGTAAAAGTGTGCTGAGGTCTATTCATGCCACCCCGGGATGCCTGATAGAAACCATGGGAACGTGGAGGGGGTGGGCTGTGTGGTCCTCCAGACTACATACACATGCACCGCACGTGTAAACACACACACACACACACACACACACACACACACACACACACACACACACACACACACACACCTACACACACAGCCCCCGATTCCCCTTCTGACTACATCTCTCTCACTGTCGAACTCAAACAAACACATATAGCAAACACAAACACACACTCACACACACTCGCACACACACACACACACACACACACACATATATACAGAAGCATCCACACACAGTAATCTTCCAGTGGGGACTCATTCATAACATGGAATGACAAAGGAAATTTTCAGCTGACAGCTTTATGGAAGGAGAAAATTCCCCTTCTTTACTGCCCTGATGTCACTTCATATCTAAAAGATCCTTAGCGTCTGGGCGGTGAATATTTGTTCACTCGCTGTGCTCCCTCATGAAACCTCCTCTACTACAGTAATATCCTGTCCAGTTCAAATAAATGAGATGCTCAGTGTTTTAGTTTTGCACCTGAATGAAGGACGCCATCAATTTGGACTCACGCCTACAGTGATAGTCGGGATGGTGTGAACTCTGTGGTTGATTCAACACTGATGACTTCAAATTACTTTATTTAGACTTTACTCAGTATTATTACTAATAGCCACAAAGCTGACATGCCATAAGGACGCTGAACGATGTGTCCCTCCTTCACGAGACTTACTTTGCTGTTTGCTGTAAAGTTTATTTTAACCAGCTTAAGAAACTTCTGTCTTTTTCTTCAACAAATAAAATGACACATTTTTTGACAGTGAAATTAGGAACATCAGCGGGCCTCTCTTATTCTGACGAGGTGGTTTTATCTTGTCAAACAGTATTACAGTTACATTGTGTTGACAAAGTATGCAATAATTAACTAAATAAAAACAGTAAATATTAAAGAACATCATATATTACCTATACTTTATATGGCAGAACGTTTTTTAATGATATCTTATTATGCTGTACCAAGTGGGATAAATCCCCTTAGTAAAAATATGAATTTCAAGTCAGCTCCATATTCTAATTATATTTGTAGGCACTTGAGCTAAAAGTAGAAGAGAACATTAATGCAGCATTTTCTAAGGCATAATGTAAAGTACTAGCCTTGATATGATATAAGAAAACAATGATGATACTGATGGTATTTATGTGTGTATTTATGCGCTCGCTTTACAGATAATTGATGAGGAGGAAACACAGTTTATGACCAACTGCCCCCCTGCAGTGACAGAGAGCACTCCTCGCAGACGCACCAGCATCCAGGTGTTTTGGACTGCGCCCCCGAGTGGATCCGGCTGTGTCATCATTAAGTATGTATACCACCACTCATGAGGAGAAGATTCCTCAAATGCCATAGTGCCCAAAATGCCCAAATGCTTAGAGATAATCTACACACTAATGGTAGAGGATTAGTTTACAACTGAAACGGTGCCTGTACTTGGTGAGACGGTAATTAATGATGCGCTATGCGGTCTGGTCATGTGTGAGTAAGGCCGCCCCTCTCTATAGAAATTGTAGATCAATGCATGAATGCCCACAGATCAGTGGAGACTATAAGATGCAGGCTCAGTCTCCAAGTATCAAGAGTATATTTGATTTGTGGTTTTCTCCTGCTGATAATTTTCAAAGCATATTATAAGATTTTATATTTTCTTTTTTCCACCTTATAGGCAGCGACTACGTATTCCATTGTGCAACAAAAGCTACACACTCCAATTATCATAAGAATGTATTGCTTTCCTTTTGTGTTAGGCTGCATTACTTTTAGCAAATAAACTGGCAAAGAGTAGAATGGCAAAGAGCAGAAAAAGTTAGTTATGTTTTGAACTACTGCTAAAAAAAGGATGATTTTAATTGCTTTTTGTTATATGGTAAGTTTTAATCATAAATTGCAGCTCTCGGGGATTGCTAGCGGTGCCTCGAGTATATATTAAATCTACATGCACATGCCTTCCTCAAAGGGAAGCACGGTTAAATCGTTAAAAGTTAATTATTTAGCTGATTGACACCAATCGACTCTGCTTTGGTCCATCCTTTGGGCTTGCTTGGGTACATAGGGGTAGTGATGTTTAGCTGAAGACAGATGGTGGCCAAAATCCAATTTATGATTCAGTACAACTAAAAAGTTGAGAGAGGGACGAAGCGTACGGCCTAGAAAGAGGTACTTAAAGGGGCTGAGGGGTGGATGTAGTAGTACCGGGGCAGCAGGCAGGGTGGCGAGGGAGAACTTTGAAAGAGATGCCTCTTGAAGATCCTGAATACAGGTTTTGAGTGGATATGTGCCACTCCTTTATGTTGTATGCCTTCAGGCTTCAACAGTCTTATTGATTGAGGAGATTCAACCACTGTAACTAACTGATAGGGCTTTTCATATGTAAACTGTTCAACATAATTGTACACTATGGCTGTGTACAGTGGGAAATGCACGCCAGCTGGAAAAAATGGGAACATGAAATGAGAACTGTGCAGTCAAAAAATATACAGAAAGAAGCAACATAATGTGACATGATTGGTTATTTCATAGATAAGCATGAAGAGGACATTTTCATTAGCACAAGCAGGGCAATTTTATTTTTAAATTTGCATTCCAAAAAAGCTTAGTCAGCCTGCTTGAAAAATATTGGGATTTTAAGAAAACATCTGGCTGAAATTAGAAGTGTGTTTGTGGCATTTATGTTTCTGTTAGAAAGAAACCTCTTTTTTCCTCTTCGGTGGTTTCTGAGAGGTGTAATTGAGGGGCAGCCGATGTCATTAAAATAGAAAGACTGTGCTCGGTGGTTAGCTTTCGCCCGTGGTTGGTCTGTGATGAGAGGGCCAGGCAACGATGCTCTTGAACTCAGAACACGGAGGATGAAAATCTTACCATCCAATCCAGTTATTTTCAGCCGTCGTGCTTTCAAGAAGATGTTTCTATAAGTGCCTTTCAAGTTAAGCTAAGTTTAGTTTATTCATTTGCAAAATTAGATAAAAACCAACAAACATAAAGCTGATAAAAACAACAAAAGAGAAGAGAAAATCTTTAGTACAAAATGTCATGGAAAAAACATGAAAAAAAATATATCCAAAAAGAAAGAAAGTAAAATTTAATGGAAATAAAATAGCATGGAGAAAAAGTAAAAAAAAGTATTAAGTTAAAAAATGGCACAAAAAGAAAGTTTGGTCAAAAATGTGGTAAAAAAATGTTGGTGAAAATGTCCAAAAAATGTCCAAAACTTCATGGAAAAACGATTGACATTGAAGTAGCAGCAATCTATTATTGTTTTCAATTTGTATGAAGGAAGCAATGTTTTGTCATTACTCTCCAGCGCTGTGCATATGGGAGACGAGTGATTTGTTCTGATGGTCTGTTTGACTAACGAAGTATATCAGCGATCATTTGAATGTCACAACCAAATGCAGGTGTCACAGTCTGTTAATCTCCTTCATCACAACGATAGGAGGACTTTAAAGGCCACTATAGTCAAGCAGACCCATTGAAATGAAATGAAAACACATTTGCCCTGTGCACAGGATTTGTATAGTGTCTTAGTTGTTTCATCTTTGTAGTGTAGAGTAATGATCCCCGGATGTAGTAGGAGCAGACAGAACCAAATAAATCATTACACTGGTTCCTTTGTAGATACTTGGCATTCAAATTTAAAAGTTGCCATAAAAAAAAAGGAAAAATCTATCTTGGTCCTTTCTTTTTTTCTTTTTAATATTTTCATCTTTTTTTTCTATTATGCTCTAAAACTTGCATACAAATCTACTGCAGCGCCCCACACACACTCAAATCAGTGCACTTTTGGGGTGATTGGGATCAGAGTGGTGGTGTGGATACGGCAGAGTGAGATAGAATTTAAATTGGATGTTAAATAAGCATTACTCCACTTGATTGTCTGGCCAGCCCTCGAAAAGTGGGCAAGCAGTGAGGCAGAGTGAGATCCTGTCTCTCAGGGAGATACGTGAAATAGGGGGGGATTGAATTAAAGCGATTAGAGATGTGCCATTGGTGTTACTTACCTGTAATCATTTTATTCATATCATTTCTTTTAGTTTGTCTTGGCCATGTATCATACTTGCTTTTGCACACACCGCATATTCTCACATGTACACCAATATATCCTGTATAGTAAAGATGATAGTGTTACAAGCGTGAATAATAGTGTGTATCAGTTACACTTACACTTAAGGATGAAAAGGTAATAGTATTGTATGCCATTAAATATCCAGAGTTTGCTATGAAATAACATGCAGGTTATTAAAAAGAAAAGGGTGTAGTAGACCATTATAATGCCAAAGTATTTAAATACGTCAACAAAACAGGGAATTAGATAAACATTTTTCGATGAATATCTAACTTCCATCAAGTCACTGTTTTTCTTGGGGTCGGGGATGGCCTCTAGGACCGGCTCAGCTCGACAAAGCCCAAACACAGCTAAGCTTAGTGCGTTACAAAATGGCACCCGAGCAGTCCAGCTGGACTCGGCCCACCTGGAGCACATCCATCCTGCACCATCATTGTTGGGTTTCATCCCCGTGGAAACCTTCCGGCAGCCATGGATGGTGTAAAAGGCTGGTGTTTGTGAGGAAGTTATGTGCCTTGAGGCCCTTTTTCAGTTTTAATCTTCCACACTGCTGAAAAGGTTTATTTGTGGCTGATTTACATGTCAAGGCCCCTCTCAGACCTGTGTACCCCACCAGCCGGTGAAGCAGGCCTCTCAAGACAGCTCAATCTAGACAAAGTCCCCTCTGCTGAGTCTTTGATTACCGTTGGCCTGTCAACCAGTTCTTATTGACACAGTGCACAGCCTGTTATATTGTATGTATTTTTCTTTCTGTGGATTTTGTTTACATAGTACAAATAGTATGCACAAAGTAATACTCCAGAAATTATTTTGTTATTTCCTGTCTTTCAGTTTTCTTAATACATCGTATTAATACGTCGCTTTTTGTGGTCTTTGTGTAAGACAGTACCTCCATCTGAAAGACAGCCTGAGATTGTGTGGGCTCGGACAGCAGCTTTTAGAAGTCTGCTGAAAAAACAGGAAGATGATTATGAATAAATCTGCTCGCACCATCTGATCTTCTGTTCAGAATTTACCACATCTTGACAACCAGAATTTTCTTGCTGCCTGCCGTCTTCTCTTTATTTTTAAAACTTCTCTTTTCCATGTACTTTTGCACCTTATGCTCTACTCCTGACTTCCTATGTCTCTTTTTATTCTACTTGTGCAGGGCAAGCATTGTACAAAAGAGGATAATCTATTTCCAGGATGAAGGTTCACTCACCAAGCGAATGTGTGAAAAAGGTAGGCTTCTTTTAGTGATATTAAAAAATAATTTATCATGAATGTCGATATTTCAATCTCCCTGACGTTACTCCACTTTTCTTTTTTTGGTCTCTTTTACTCTACTCTCGTTCTTGATTTTGATGCAGGGACAGTCCTCTCTGCCATTTCACTCTGGCATATAAATGATTATAAATGAGTATGACCCCCTGACTGTGCATAATATTGGATGTCACACTGTGCAACAGATCAAAAGAACCATGCTATATCCTCCGCTTTTCTCATGGCCTCACTCTTTCCTCCCCTCTGCTCCGCATTTTCTTTAAGCACCCAGCTCCTTTTCTGCTCCTTACACGAATGAGCAATCTCTTTACGGCTTTCTCACGTTGTTCTGTATTTCTCACTCTGTATCTTTCACGTTCCTCCTCGATGCTGTGCAGAATCCCTGTTTGGAGACGTTACCGATAAACCTCTGCTTGACTGCTGTGCCTGTGGAACGGCCAAGTACAGAGTCACCTTCTATGGGAACTGGTCGGAGAAAATTCATCCCAAAGACTATCCACGTAAGAAATGGACAACATGTTGATGGTTGGGGTCTTATAATACAATTTGTTAACAATAACAAAAATTGAGAGGTCTTTTGCAGCTCGGTAGCTCTAAAATACTGCAGGATATGTTGCTGAGATATGGCTGTTTTTGCCCGGGTACCTGGGTCTCAATAGCGATGGTGTGATTAACTCTCTGCAGTGTGGTACTTTGATTGAGTGTTATGTGTGTATAAACTCGAGCCATCCTATCATGAAGTGAATGGGATTCGGGATTACAATGGCTTTCTTGTCTAAATCCGGCTGGTTAGATCAATATACTGATTAGAGTGAAATAGGATAAACCCTGAAATGGAAAGGGAACCTTAACTTACTGTCTTATGGAGGTAGTAGTTGGTGTGTGGTTCACTCTCACATACTGATTAGTAAACACACTTTGAAGATAGATAAACCTAAAAGATAATAGGGCAAGCTTAGTGGTGTCTGTTACGTGACTCAAAAACCGACACAGTTGGATTTTTCCTTGCAGTCATATACCACGCTACCAGTTTTTTGAACACACTGCATATTGAGTTCTGCACAATACTATTCACTGACTCCAGTACTGTAATCACATGACGATCTGTCCTCACTTGAGTTATGATGCTATTTTCAATTGTAAAAAAATGGCTTTAAGTAAACTCTAAGTAGTACTTTTTGCTCCCTGAGATATGCAACTAATTTCAAATCATCCTTCTACTTTTAACTCAGTCAGTCATCTTCTATAGAGCATATCCTTAGTATGTGGGTGAGCACCCATAGAGGATAGCATTATGAGCAATCATACAATTCAACTTATACACTCTTTCCAGCAAAAAACAAGGGCTTTCAGGTTTAAAATGAATCAAATCAAAGTATCGCTCAATGTGATGAACCAAAAGTCTGTCAATCAACGGAGCAATGGAGCAATCAAGGATCGTACACTGTAACAAATTGCTGTAAATTTACGGTGCATTTCTAACGGTATCTTACAGTATGCCATAATAACTGTAACATACAGTTAAATTTCCATCCCTTGCTTGTAAATTAACGGCCAATGTCATGAATAAACAGTTAAAGCTGTCAACTTACAATAATAGCAGCTACCGTAATTCAACTGCATGTTACATATATTTTATGAAGTGGTGGAAATACACATACAAGTAGAGTGAATCACAATCCATCTACATCTGTTGTAGGTTAATGTATGGAAGCCCATGTCAGCCACTGAAAAACAGGTCCCGTAAGTCATCATAATGAGATACGATTATGACTTTGACTTACAGGACATTACTATACATGCAGCTGTCACTTTTATGCAAAACGCCCATGGTTTGACATAATTTTAACTGGAGTAATTGGGGGTTAGGTGTCTTGCTAAGGAACACTTCAACTTGGCATAGGGAGCAGCCAGGATTCAAACCGCCGACCTCGCGCTGTACGGCACACCCTCCCTATCCCATGTGCCACCTTCGCTGTTGTTTCAGTGGCTGGAATGTAAAGATTATAAATATTTGTATTATTCAAAGTGTTCATTGCCTAAAAGTCATTTGAGTGTCAATCATGACCGACTGCTCCTGAACGTGAGGTCAAACGCGTAATCTCAGTTCATCCAGAACACCTGTGCAGTTCAACATCGGAGGAGTTTCTCATTGCCTCGTCTCTCCAAGTAACGTTGGTAAGTGTTATTTGCCTAGCATGATTACCATTCTCTTTCCTTACATCTTGTTGTCTTCCTCATCTTTGTAATTTTAATATTTTCCAATGACAGTGTTTCTAAATATTTTATTTTGGTTTGTTTTACAGAGACTCTGGATTAAGGACGCCAGACGTTTGCCGCGGTCATTTGAAAGTGTTCCATAACATATTGTTGCAGTTAGTTTACCTTGTTCCTAATGATTTTATGATTCATTTTTTTAATGTTGTATACATGCGGCATATTTTATGTTTTGTTCTTGGTTACAAATGCCGAACATTTTTGTCTTAAAGGCATCTAATAAACTCCAACCACTATGACCGAAATGAGTTTGGTTGTCTTTCTTTAATTTGTGGCGAATTAAATGCAAAAGTATACGATTATAAGTAAACGGTAACATTCTGGTATTTATAACACAAAAACTGTAATTGTAAGGTAACAAACTGTAATCCAATATACATACCGTATATTACGGTAGGGCACTGTAAATAAAACAGTAAGTTACTAGCGTCGACTGACAGTAAATGGCAGTTGATTCACAGTAAAATTGGTTCAAGTTTACGGTAACATACACTAATCCGTTTACGGTAACATAGTGTAAAAACCATTTACGGTATTATACCGTAAAAACTGTAAATTCTTGGCGTCTTTGCTGCCGGTAAAATACCGTTAATTTACAGTGAAATTTTTTGTGTGTAGAAGGATCATACTTGAAATTTCTAGAGCTATGCCTCTACAGGTGGCAAAAATGATCAGCTAATTTCTGAAACAGGCCGGGCAGTCCACTTGATGAGCTACTGTTTTGTCTTTTTCCACCAGGTCGTACCAATCACTGGTCGGCGATTATTGGAGCCTCCCACTCTAAGAGCTACGTGCTGTGGGAATACGGCAGCCTTTCTAGCGATGGAGTTAAACAGATAGCTGAGCTGGGTTCCCCTGTGAAAATGGAGGAGGAGATCAGACAGAAGGTAAGATTCTCTGACGATGAATGATGCATGAAGTACAATGGAAAAAACATTCATGCACACTGAACATTTCTACAAGATATAAAGTCGAGGTATTCAACAAAAGGAAGAGTTCAGTTTTTTTGTTTTTTCTGTAAATCTTTTTCTTGTCCAAATCTAGTAAGAGGTTAGTTTGAGATGCTGGGGTGCTCACACCCGAGTTCAGCATGGCATGAATTGGTTTGACATTGTTCTCCAGATTGATTAGTGCTTTCAAGCATCTATGCCATTCTTAGCTTGACTCTACATCTACTGCGTACTGTGCACACAACCAATACACAGGCTCTGGGGGAGGAGTACGGCTGTAGGACCAGTTGGGATGCTCGAAAAAAAGTTCAGAAAGATATGTTACTTCCTGGTGTGACATGAAATGAGGTCAATAATAGATTCCCTCTAAAGGCTCACCATTCAATTGAACAGTTTATCTTTGATTAGACCGTGGGGCTGGACATGACGCTCATAATGCTCAGAAGGAGTTACAGGAAGTAGCTGATATTCCCACCATTAAGTGTTGATTAGTAATCCATTTAATTATTTTCCCCATGGGAAAATAATCCATACTTTGAATGGCTTCCATCAGCACTCACCTTAATTTTAGATATTAAGTTTTATTTTTTAAATATTTATTGCGCTTAACTCCTAAGTCTCTGTCTCCTGGGCCTGTCTTCACATTAGTATTTCCACAAACAGCTTGGCATATCTTCTCGTTTCCTCCTGTATATCCATGGCTTCCTCCTGGAATAAGAGCGGATGGTCTTGCGCGGTGCTTATTGCTGGCTAATATTAAAGACCCTAGGTCACAGGTGCACAGGGAGAGAAAAAGTGTCTCTATGCATTGCTGTCGTCTCAAAGCTAACACAGCACACAATTTTGTACTATTATTTTCTCTCAGCCTAGATCATTAGAAGCATTTCCTCTCAGCTTAAAGCGCAGGGTGAATAGGCGAGATATTAAATAATGTCAGTGTAATGAATACTTAAAATTATTTGTAACAATATAATACATTATATTAGTCATCAGTTAATTGGGATTATTTCTGCAGCACAAAGAATGAGAATGTTTCCACACAATCAATCATACATACTTGCCCACCGATCAGGGACAACCCTTTATTTTCTATAGGTTCCTCCTTCGATTGTGTATTATAACAGCAAATGTGGTTGAGTGATTGAACAAAATGATGAGACACACAACCAGCAATGATATCATCTCCAGGGGTATCTCAAGCTGTGGTTGTTGGATCTATGTGCATTTGTTGACATACAACATGATCTTACTTTAAATAGGTGATTGCGCTGAGCTGTTTGTTTTGGAGTCACGTGACATTTGGTCTCTCTGTGATTTATCGTCACAGCTCCTTTGATACCCGGAAGCTAAAACGTCTTGTATTGCCCGGAGAAATCTAATGCATGTGTATATTGTATTCACAAGTATACTTCTGCATAGCCTGGCATTGCCCTTGAGATAAGGGGGCCGGGTTATGGAGGCTCCCTCTTTTGAGCCATGCAGTGCGTAAACGCTGACATAAACAGAAAGCTGATTGTCTTTTGTGTCAGGGGGGGGGGAACATCTAGCCCTGAATGCAATATTGATATTCATAGCCGGGCACCACTCCAGCCGAGGGGTGCACTGATCAGGATGTTCATACAAAGTTTCATTTGCAGAGCCGATCAGGCATGCAAGACCTTGGAAACACGTCTACACACAAATACACAGAACAATCCTTCTCATTCTCGTGTCAATTTAGTGTGATTGCTGTATTTTATTTCTGAGATCTGCGCGCTTTCAGAGTTTAGACAAGACTGTGCTGCCCCATCTGTCTTTCTGTTACTGCTCATTAGATGTGTTGTGCCCTCCCGGTCCTCTGTGAATATATTAATTCATTGAATTAACGCTTTATTAAACTACAAAACTATAGTCGTGGTAAGTGGTAGTACTTAATATGTTTGAAGAATTAATCTTTAATTTTAAACGACTTGCACTTTTAATTTGTGCATCCCATACAAACTTGGCTCTGTATTTCTGTCCTTGCTGGCGACTGGCTGGTAATAAAAATGTTATTGGATGTCAGACTTTCTCAAAAATAGCCGAGACCCACACAATCTCAGGCCCTCTGCACTGCACATAAGCAATGATGACAGCATGCCTCTCATCATATTGGTTATTAAGACTATAAGCGAAACCATTACTGCCCTTTTAATGATTCATATAATGAAATGAACAGCATAAATTAACAATGAAACGGAGGAAAAGGCATTATGATTTAATATTGCTTTCCACCAAAGATGCATATTCAATTTGTATTTTAATGAGTTAGTAAGTGTATAGCTTTAAGTCAGCGACGTTTAGTGCACGTAGTTCCGCTTGCTAAGTTACAGCATGGTGAATGGTAGATGGACTTTATTTATTTATCTATCTTCTTTTTAGTTTCTGGACCATTCAAAGCACTCAATACTACTAGTCAACATGCACACCCACACATTCATTTGCTGATTCATGGGTCATACAATGTTCTAATCTGCTGATGAGATTCTTAACTAATGCTCACTGACACACACTGATGTCACAGCCTTAAGGAGCAATTTAGGGCCCCATGCTCTGACCCAAGAACACTTCAACATGCAAAGTAAAAGAGCTGGTGAACCAACTGCGGTTTAGTAAATAACTGACAACCCCTTCTACTCAATCACTCCCAGATCTATAAAAACAGATATGCAATACTGTTTTTTGCCCTTATCAGAGCATTTGGCGGCGGTCTGGGTCTGTTGTTGATCTCCCTCCTCTCATGTACGAGGTGATTTGTTTATGCATTCAGTCATTACAGAAGCTGTGTGTGCCCCTAATGAGAAGTTTAATGAGACTCTCTCCATGGACCAGCGACCAGGGCAGAGGTCTCAGACAGAATCTCCTATTTCCGCTCGCAGCATGGGGCTTTTTTCATTATTGCACAGTGCGGACGCTAACAGAATCCTATATTATCCTGAGCTCCCCAGATGCACACAAAGACATTGCAGATAAATGAGGGGAAATACTGATCTGTGTTACTTGATATAACTCTGGTTCTTATTATATTGTCTGGCATCAGTTTCTTCCCTCACAAGAGTAAATGTGCAGATGATCCTCGTGGATCATTCAAGAGACTCCTGTCATGCTTCATGATTCCTTTTTGAAGGATAATTCTGCACAGAGAGAGACCAAACATGTTTGATAATTGGAATGCTATATACATATTCACCCAGGTCAACAAAAGCTATTTCACAATCTGCAAGGAACTTTATATCTGAATTTAGTTTGCATGATGAGCAAAATAACAAAAGGTTTTATCCAAGAAAATATCAGCTACAGTATTTTTTCATCTTGGTCCCTATGCTCCTCTTTCAGTGCACTTCACAAGGTTTGAAATGATCATTCTTAAGTTCAGTTGTGTTGAGAACAGTAAGGTCTGCCAGCTGCTAGAGGAAGCCCTGCCTCGGGTGTGTGGGTAGAGATTAATAGATATGCAGGTTATTTTGGGTCCAAGCCTCTCACTGAATAACCAGGTACGTTCCTCTTTATGTTCAGATAATTACTCAACAATTATGTTTCAAAGCACATACATCTGCATTCCACATGTGTCTTTTGGAACACACTTTTGAATGATCTCCTGTGTTAGTGTTCAAAAGTCATACATCTTATCAGGAATTGTTATGCTGGAAGAAATTCCCAAGATATGTAACTATGCAATAGATGGTGTAATCGATAAACCGTCTTCTCTACTGTCTACAATTATAGATCATTGTTTCATTTAATTGTACAAATCAACTCTGTTATAGATGAGTTTCATTCTAATCAGTGTTTAACCAACAGTATACTTCACACATTGTATTGGAATGGAGCGGTGATGTTGTTTCTTCAGTGTATTCTTGTAGTACACTTACACTCAATCCATTCCAATTATTGCACAGTTGACTCTTTCAATTTATTAAGTCAACAATTACAGTAAAGTATATTTACCCACTCAAAGTGAATGCTAAGACAAAAGAATGAAGAAAAGAGCAATGATAAATGGTGCATGTGCGTCTTACTTAATATTATTTATTGCAATGTCTCATAATGAAGTGATGTTAATAATCAAGTGTTTTAGTCGGCGCTTGTGGAGAGTTTTTACACAGCGGGTAAAATATTGCAACTTGCTGCTTGTAAGCAATCGTGTCCAAGGACAAAAAAGAGTAAGATTTGGCATTTCCATTTTGAGCCCCTGAGAATTCTTTCTATTTTCTGCACATGCCTTCAATGGCACTAGGAACTGCATGAGGCAAACCGATTAGAGAAGCCTGGATGACTTGGGTTCAGTTTTTCTAGCGTCATTACGCTTTGCAATTTATTTTTCTCATCAAACAAAAGGAGATGAAACATCTCTTCACCTTGATGTCATTCAGAATTGGTCTTTCAACCAACGAATTTCATTAATTTTTTGGCCAACTAATTATCTTGTGCCCGGGTTTACTGTATAGGAGAATATATGGTGTTCCTTTCAGCATGTATGATACATCAATTACATTTTTTATTTCATCCTCTATAAAAGGGTCTAGTTCATTAACATTCATTCAGAACATATTTGTATTGCTGTTGTATTTGAGATGAAAGGTGTTTGTGATGTAATATACTATATTACGCCGCTCTGCTGTTTTCAAGTGTGCTTCAGGCAAGTGTTTTGTTGAAAGGGGTCAAGTAGTGTCGGGTTAGGGGGTGAAATGCTTTTTCAATTCACAGTTGTTCCAATTCTTTTCGCTCTTGTGCCGCTGTGTTAAAATCCTCTCTCTGCCGTGTCATAATATAATCAAATGACTATTTAATCTTTGCAAGAGGTGTAATTGTTTTTCAATTTAAATATCATTTAAACAATGTAAAATATGCTAACATGCATGAGATACACCACAAACAGAAAAAAGTTTTTTTGCTTAGTGGCTTTTTTTTTTCTCAAA